GTGGAGGGGTGGGTGGCGAGGTAGAGTCTGACTGTGGGATGTGCGGGGGGGGGGGGGTAGAGTCTGACTGTGGGATGTGCGGGGGGGGGGGGTGGGGTGGATGTGCGGGGGGGGGGGGGGGGTAGAGTCTGACTGTGGGATGTGCGGGGGGGGGTAGAGTCTGGGAGCACCCATGGTAATCTGATAAGGACTACATCTCACGAGTCACTGTCACAAGACGGTCAGCAGATGATGATGACTCAACTGAGCAACACAAGCAGCTGATGATGACTCACCTGAGCATGACTCACCTGAGCAACACAAACACCTGAAGAAACCCTTAAAGACATTAAAGACATTAAAGATATTAACCCTCCGGTATCACTGTGGACGTTTTTGTCCATATGGGTCATTTTTCAAGTTTCATTTTGCAATAACTTTGGTTGTGTTGGTGCAAATGGCCTGATTTTTTGTAACAAGGCTATTTTCTCGATCTATTTTGGAATTCCAATTTCAATTTTTCAAATCGGTCTTTAATTCACTGTGTAACAAATCGACTACGCTTATTGACCATTCGAGACAAAAATGTCCACTGCAAAAGACTTTGATAAAAACATTATATTAAAAGGTTTTTTTCACAACTTTTTTGGGTTCAATCTTTAAAGCAACTTCCGCCCTAATAGAAAATACCAAGAATGTAATCATTTTCAGGATTTTAACCCTTTAAATGCCATTTTGAATACATGAAACCGCTGGTTTTTTTCATGATGAAAACAGAAAATGAGTTATTTTCCATAAAATACATATCTGGGGACTGGCTCTTTTTTTTTTTAACGGTCTTGGATATGTCCAAGATTAGCAACAAAAAACTCACACATTAGTCATTCGGGACAAAAATGTCCACTTCCAAAAACTGCTCTAAAATGACAACAGATTAATATATTTTTAAACTTTTTGGGGTTAAATCTTTCAATCAACTTCAGTCCTGATCAAAAATACGAAATGTTAAATTATGTTCAGGATTTTAACCCTTTAACTGCCAGTTTAAAAACATGAATTTGCGTTTTCTATGAAAAACATGCACAAAAAGGCAGTTATTTTCCATATAATAAATGTTGGGGGGGTCGGCTTTTTTTTTTTTTTTAATCACAGTCTTGGATATGTCAAAGATTAGCAACAACATTGATTTTGGTTGATTATTAGTTTGTGCACAGAATCAGATTAAACAAAAAACTCACACATTAATCATTCGGGACAAAAATGTCCACTTCCAAAAACTGCTCTAAAATGACAGATTAATATTTTAAAAAACTTTTTGGGGTTAAATCTTTCAATCAACTTCAGTCCTGATCAAAAATATCAATTTTTATCAATTGCTAATCTTTGACATATCCAAGACTGTTATAAAAAAAAGAGCCAGTCCCCAGATATGTATTTTATGGAAAATGTTCTCTGTTTTCATCATGAAAAAAAACAGCAGTTTCATGTATTCAAAATGGCATTTAAAGGGTTAAAATCCTGAAAATGATTACATTCTTGGTATTGTCTATTAGGGCGGAAGTTGCTTTAAAGATTGAACCCAAAAAAGTTGTGAAAAAAACCTTTTAATATAATGTTTTTATCAAAGTCTTTTGCAGTGGACATTTTTGTCTCGAATGACTAATTTGCGTAGTCCAATCGAATGATACCTAGACATTATGAACATTACTTATCATAACATCATAACTCTATCTCATGAGGCTGTTAGTTATTGATCTTATCAAAACATCCTCAATGTGAATATTTGCTGTTTTATCACTAAACTGATATTTATTTTCTAAATGAATTATTAATTAAATGTATGAAGTATCAATCAATCAATGTTTATTTATATAGCCCAATATCAAAGTAAAGTATTCTTTAATAAGAAGCTCTTATTATATATTATATCTGTTTTATAACAATGACTCAGCGTTTCTCTGTATTCCGGTGGAAGCTGGATGATCACGTGACTCCGGGGGAAATCCCTCATTGGAAAGTACTAAGTCATTCCTCGGCCTCTCATTGGTCGCCTGGGCGGGACTCCGGCTGTAGACCAATCAGAGGCCGTGTCAATATTTACCTTTCCTGACAACAGTGACGATAATCACGGAAGTAAACATTAAAAATAAAAGCTGCGACACAAGCTGGACTGAAGTCTCAAACTGGATCTGAGTCTGAAGTCTGAGTCTGAAGTCTCAAACTGGATCTGAGAAGAGTCTGAAGTGAGAAGAGACGAGTCTGAAGTCTCAAACTGGATCTGAGAAGAGTCTGAAGTGAGAAGAGACGAGTCTGAAGTGAGAAGAGCAGAAAACACAGAGTTCCTGAGAGGAAAACCCGAG